GAGAAGACAAAAGGAATGCTGTTTAGATCGGCACGATAATCAATTCTTTATTACTTGACAAACAACATCTCTACGAAACTTCTGCTTAGTAGACAACTTTCTCCCTTCGATACACATTGATTTTGTCTCTTAGTTTTTTCTTCTTAGTTTATTTGAATTTGCAAACAGACATACTACTTGTCATTTTAGAAAAATTCAACTCAGTGGTTCCACAACGGAAAGAGATGATCAACGGTTTCATTTGAAGCTATCGATAACTATTTCCGAAGATGAGTTCATCTACAGAACAGACACATGGGAACTACTCAAATGGGCAGCAGTGCAGTACTTCACTGTATTCGCTATCGTGAACTACCTCATCAATACATTCTTGACAAGTTTATATGAAAGTGGATTAATAGAAGCTATCATTTGCTGTAAATGACTGATAAAAACTTGATGAAAAGGCACTGAACAAACGGAATGGTTATGGATAGATAGCGGTGATATCAAAGCACTATAAGATATAGTACTAACTACCTAGTACGAGCAACAGAATTTTTCAGAGATCAATGCTCTTCTAATAGAATCTAGGCAAGAAATTATGAAAGGCACTACACTCTATGGAAATATTGGAAAGAAGCAGATAGCTAGTAACGATCACGAATTTGACCCGATTTCTGCAAACTCGATATAGAAGTATCAAATAATCTGCCGCCTCATCACGATAATATAGCAAGGGAATGGATTAGAGAATCACCTTTCTAAATACCGCGTAACAAACCGATGGACACTTCCAACTTTTAACCCGCAAATTCATCGCCTTCATATTCTGCCGCTGAATCAGAATTGGAGTCTCTTTCTACAAGAGAAACATATTCTCCAACAGCCTCCAAAACCGGAGAACTAGAGTACTCCATGATCTCCTTGAGTCTGGAACAAAAAAAAAAAAATCAGATGAGAAGGAGACGTGCAAGTGTCTGTTAGTTGACCTGGCCGCTTTTCGCAGAGATTTTACAAGCAGCACAAACAGCACTGCGAGAGGTGCACTGGCAAGTAAAGAAACGCCAGTCATCTGAACTGCATCAGCAGATGGTAATAAAACAGTAAATGCCGAACACAAACAGCGTCCCATCATCAGCGGGAAGACGTAATAGTCTAATTGGATACCACCACGTGGATTAACGC